TTATACAATATATTCAATGTTTGTTTCTGCACGGAAACAACAGAAATGGCTGTGTACCAGGTGTGTTTTGTTCATGTCCTGGCAAATCTCACACACAGCAGTGATCTGACGTCACGGCTCACACTCGTGGCGTCAGTCACTGTTTTACAAATCAGAAAAAAAGTACAAATGTGACTTAAAAACCACATGCCCTCAAAACAGACACTCGATGAAAAGCCCATGAAGACGAAAAGCTGACAGTTGGAGGAAAGAGAAACAAAATATAAGGTGCAGCAGCTATAGATGTGGAGAGAACTTATTTACAATTCACACCAAAAAAATAAAAGCCCATCCAAACATTCTGGTGATTTGTCCGAAGCAAAAATAATTTAACCCACAGCTGGAGCATAATGCACTGTGTTTAATGAGTAGAACTGAAGTCGCCCACCTTAGCAAGGCAAAACAAACAAATATATAGTTATACAGACATGGACCGAAAATTGGAAACTGAATGATCTGATGTGTGACTATGGGAGGACTTTTTACTTGCACTTCCCGGAAGGTTGATAAATGTCCTAAAATAATGAATGGAAAAATAATTTTAGTTGTCGATGGCACCTGGCTATGGGTCGCCACTTTATTGTTTCTATATTCAAACATGAGAAAGTTCGGAGACTTTTGAGGAGAGACTGACACTTCCCATCTAAAATATATTTTCAATTGCACTTTATCTTAAAAAAGACTGAAACCCATTTAACTGAAGGAAGAAAATGCTTCATTTAATTTTGGCTGAATGACCCTTTTTAAAGACGCAGCTGTTTTTATCACCACACAGCTGTTGCTGCTCTAAAAGTATCTGAAATTCTGCTTGATGAAAATAAAGATTTTGATTCTGAATGTAATTTCTTTTTTCCATTGGTTTACATTTTTCATGTTTCTGAAGCTAACACTGCGGCACAATCCCACGCAGACTGTGTAATCATTGCGATTGTAGCCTTCAGTGGACACGAGCTGTACCTTTTTAAATAAAGATACCGCTTATATCGACGGCTGAAGGAATGTTAGGATGATTTCATTAAAAAAATATTTCCATATAATTTACATAGTACAATGGCTTATTATACACTTCTATATACATCGTACATCTGTTCTCAAACATTTAAAACCGTATAAATTAACATTCTTTTTCTTTTCAACATGACATTACACATAGGAAGTGTGACAGGGCACCAAACATACACACTGAAAGTGTTCTGACATTTGAGTCTTGTCGGTCTTGAATGGGGCCAATTTGAACTACAGACACGCATTGCATTTAATTTTTTTTTTTTTTTTTTTTGTTTTCATCTCTCGTAATTCCATAAAAACAGAGCAGATTGTTTTTTCCTCGTGTCAACAGAAAATGATCATGTAAATTTAGAAAAAAGAGAAGGACTTTTTCTCAAGTGAATGCAATATGCTTCTGTAGGGAACTAACATGTAACACGAAATTGAAGGTAGAAGATTGTCGGATATAAATGATCATAACGTCAGACTCTGACGCAGGCAGGTCTTGCACAGTGCACCGTTACAAGTAGCGTGTGATTGTCATCACAGACAGAGAGGCACGTACGTTTTTTTCCTTGACATTGTTCAACTGCAAATATGGCTCCACCGAACCCCTCCGCACCTCATTCTGTTACCACTGTCATCTCAGCACATCAGATCTCAACCTTTATGTCCACACTGACTGTTTGAGATTAGGAGTGTGGTTACAAGAGATGAGTAGTTGGACGTACGGCTCTCTCAAAAACTAACGGCTCAGGAGATTTTCCCAAACACAGTTAGAACCAGCACAGTGTGTAAAGAATGAGATCTCAACGTCCAGACAGAACCGACTCCGCAAATCACTTTCAGACATATGAAAGACCAATTTTTGATAATTCAACATAAAGACAAATTTAGTGTTTTTGTTGTATTATATTTCACAAAGTAGCACATTGGAGGTGGCCTTGTTTTCAAGGTAAATGAATTATCTGCTCTTTTTTTCCAATGAGATCACATTCGTAGCAGGAAGCAGTGTGTTATTCACTTGTCAATGAGCCCAGCTGCTCATAATTGGAACAAAATGTCATGACTTCAGGCGTTTGAACTGATGCGATCAAATGACCAGACTTAAATAAACAGGGCAACAGTTCAGAGAAATCACAGCAGGCAGAAAATCTCTTCTCACTGTTTCTGAGATCCTCGCTGCTGCAGTTTGCTGCATCGTGGAAAACACACAGATAAGAGGTGTTGCACTCTTCTCATAAAAACATGATGGGGTGAGACATTAAGACCAGTGTTGACCTTTTAATGTCTGTATGAACATTAAATCAATATAAAACTACTTTCTTATCTGATATATTGTTTCAAATATATCTGTAATAAATAAAACATTAAATCATTTCATTAGGGTTTCAGTAAATACTTAAATGAATCTTATTAGATACTATCATTAAAGAAAGATTTTGGAAATACAGATTTTCACGGTTGCAAAAAGCAGCCAATATATATTTGTAATATATCCAATACAAATCTAGATGTCCTTTGTTTTAATCTGATGCTGAAAATAAATTATGACCTACGAAAATATAACTTTGTATTCCAAATGGACCTGAGCTGGATTTTTAAAGCCGTAATCAGACTAAACCATCAAACCGCACCACGGTTAAAGGCACACATTGTTTCCCCCCCTCTGGTAGCTTGTTTTTCACCTGAAGTCTCGTGCTGCAGACTTCATCAGAAGCATCAGGACTTCAGAGCTTTGCCATCACTCTCTGTGAGAAGTGGTGTTATAGTCGTAACACTCCATCGTCAGTCCCAGATTGAGGCTTTAAAAATCTAGATAGACCTTTCTAGTTATTGGAGGATCTCCCTCCCTCCAGTTTCCCAGTGTAGCATGTTACATCTGATTACGCCTGATGTTAGATATGATAGTCATCTTATTACTGCATGTGCCACAATCATAAAGCTGTAAAGCTCCTCTCAAGCAACCTGCCACAAACATTCCTGCAAGTAAATCTTTGCTTGTTGGGACAAAATGGGATCAACACCTGAAACACACTCTGATCTCATTCCCTCATGAGATGAAGCATTTTCATCGTTAAGTTCGGACCAGGGGTGATATTATGTTGCTGGGGCGGGGTGTCAAGTTTTAGGTATGAAAACTAATCTCACTGATGAGCCATTATTAGAGAGGAAAATAGAATATTTGGGGGGGTGCAAACAGACACTTAGAAGGAAACTCTCTGTGTTAGATGAAAACGTCCACATGTAAACATGTGAAAATTGTGTCTTCTTGAGAGCTTTGATAATCCACTTGTTCTAGCAGCGTCACTGACTGACGACTGAGCGTGAAGTGGGCTCAGCCCCACAGGCTGACGTCAGGTCAGCGCAGCTTCTGCTTGTGGTTTTTATCGCTCCACTCCTTCCTCTGAACAGGCAGCTTCACATCAAAAGGGTCACTATGAGCGATTTTCCACTTTCCAGCATTTGTCTTGCAGAACATGACGTCAAGTTTGACTTCAAATGCCACAACATGGCGACGACACAGAGGGAGACCTCAGCGCTATGACAGAGTCCACAGCGCTACCGGGTCAGCATATTTCGGAAGTCTGAAACACTGCCAGTCTGGTTTTGGGAATGTTGGTACTGCCTTTGCTGCTGCTGCTGTGCTTGCGGCTGTTGCTGCTGCTGCTGCTGCTGGATGTATCCCACAGTGCTTTGCTGTGGAACATTAGTGGCGTGTAAGAATGCTGGAGTAGAACCACCATGTACAAGTCCTTGAGTCATCTATGGACACAAAAGAGAATGTGAACAAACTCAAACTAAATCTCATATTACAATAATAATATTCAACTTAACCTTAATTTTAAGCAAATGTGACTGTTGGCTGATGAAGAACTAGTTACACTCTTTTGAGGAATGTTCTTCATTCCCTTCTAAGTAAATCCAAGAATAAAATGAAGCCCTGATACATGGTTGTTATCTTTTTATGGCACCTGGTAAAACACACCTTAATGATCCATGGAGGATAAAATAATTCAGAGATGATTTCATATCAGACAAAATTCATTTTAGATTATTTCACAGCTAATGATTCAGATGCAGTGTAATGCTTACAATAAATATTATTCAGGAAATAAAAAGCCTGTGCATTAATTTACAAAAACCCATCACAGATGAAATTTAAAGTCTAACATATGTCAGTAGAAACTAAACACACAGTGGCTGATATTACTGCATCGCTACATATAGCGGGTGGTTGCTATACCTGAAAGAACTGCTGGGGCTGTTGTAGCTGAAGGGAGTGCTGGGAGGCCTGAGGCTGAGTGTGGTAGGTTGACTGAGACTGGGGTGGGATGAAACTGTTGTGCGGGAACATGATGGGTGATGTGAATACCGGGGAGGGCACAAGGACAGCGTTGCAGTTGACCTGTTGCATGGAGAACGACGGGGCGAGGATCTGCTGCTCCAAGGTGTATCTGTACAGAGGGTACAAAAAAGAGCTCAAGCACAATGTGATATTTGAGTGTGTGTGTGTGTGTGTGTGTGTGTGTCTGTGTGTGTGTAGTTCTCACATGGTTTGGGAGATGCCCATGTTGCACTGGGAAGGCTGTGAGGTGACACTGCTAGTGGGAACCAGCGTCTGCATTGGTTGGTTGAGAAGCATGCTGCACAAAATGAAATGTGTTACTAGAAAAACTCAGTTCCCACACACATTGACACACACACATTGGCACACACAAAAAAAGGAAGTAACTGATGAATAGAACAATTCATTTTGAATTTGTGTGTCTTTTTTTTCTGTTTTATAGGGCTCTCACCGTAGTTGTCCATCTTGGTTGAACTCGTTGTCTGTGTGTCTTTGGTTTGCATCCTGCAGAGGCCGCGTGTTAGTCTGGGAGAACATCATGGGGTTGCTGTAGAAGGGCATCGTCAGACTCGTGTTCGTCTGCACGGGCAGACTCACTGCCTGTACTTGCCCGTCCCGTGCAGTTCTTTGCTGGACCTACGATGAGATACCATACACTTGTTAGCAACATATAAAAAATACTTTTCAATTATGCTCATACATCCTTCCTTTATGAAAGTACAGAATTATGAAGGAGAGGTTTTAAATCTGTGATCTTTAAGTTCCATCCATCACCTGACAACTGAGGTTTTCATTTTCTCCTCTGTATTTTTGCTACAACGCAAACAAGCTGCAACTGCAGTGAGCAAGGGAAAGAGAAACTGGATTTAAAGCTACTGCCTGTTGTTGTTGTGGTGGTGTTTATATCTTTCGATAACAGACTGTTCAAGGGCTGAATCCATAACCTTTCCCCCATTGTGCCTGAAGTAGGTTATGAGACACCACTTGCTAATTATTGCATGTATTTAGATTATTATATAAGTCAGCTATGTTTAAACACTTCTTGTGTTGTTTTAGGTTTTCATGATCACCTGTGTGGAGGGTGAGCTGTTCTCTCTCAGGAGTGAGTGAGGGGACGAGCTGTGGGCCCCGCAGGCTGGTGGTTTTGGGTGGCCTGAGTGCTGCCTGATCACCCCTGACTGGCTCTGCTGGGCCGGCCTGCCCGGGCCCTGCTGCTGGGCCTGGCCAAAGTCATCGTGGACAGGCTGCTGTAACAGCATCTAACAAATCCACGTACACAGAAAATATTAATTTATCCTTCTTTCACTTTAACAGTGATTTTTGTTGAAAAAGTATGTTTATTATGAAAAGTAACAAGGCTCAAATGCCATTCTGCATATAATTGTAAAAAGATGTGAGTTATTATGTTCAGTGTTTAGTCTGCTTAAACTCACAGCAGTATGTCTATATTGCCCTCAGTTTATTCATAATAAGTCGAGGTAACACTGAAAAATAGGTGTTTGCGTTTCAAATCACAGCTCATCTCTTGTCATCTTCACACCTGAGAGGCATTGATATTAAACAAAGAGACGTCTCATCTTTATTGAACAAACATTATGACACGACAGAAGAATCTCTTCTCTGTGCATGCTATGTAGGTCATGTAGTGGTTTAGAGAACGCTTGGAGCTGAGCTTGTTAGTGCTGGCCTCTTGGTGGGGCCATTCCACCATTACACTGTGAAGTTAGGCAACATGGGCCTATGATGTGATATTGACTTTCTAAATAGTTGACATACAGGTCTGATCATTTGTATGTCAGATGTAATCTGTGGCTAAGAATAAATAACAAATGAATACATAATTACATAGATGCTATACATAGTTTCATATATACTTTAGGCTGCATGGTGTGAGATTTTTTCTGTTTAACAGTTACCTGGAGGTTAGCCAAGTGAAGCTTTTCCTTTATGTCATGCAACTCCTGCTGCTGTGTCTTAATGTCAGCCTGCAGAATTCGCGTCCTCTCCTCCAGCTGCTCCTTCAGCTGGTTCATCACTCCGAGCTGAGGCTGCTGCAGCTGATACATGGACGACTGTGGCTGAGGCTGCTGCTGTGTTTGCTGTTGCTGGAAAGACATGATCCAAAAAATCAACTGGGAATGAGCAAAACCTAACAGTTTTTTTTGTACTGCAGCTGTGTTATATTATTTTGTATTCCACATAAAGTAACTGTATGAGGAGACAATCATTTGTCATATAATAATGGTTAATTCTCGTGATTAGAAGACTGTAGACTGTATGTCAAGGGGATAGTCTGCACAAGCAACAAATGAAGACATGCAGCAGCAACAGTCAGAACAGAAAGATATTGTACACAAACAGAACAGAGGAAGTCAAAAAGGCAGGAGAGGAATTCTAAACACTGACCATTGCGGAGTGGTTGCTGCAGGTAGGAGAAAGGGGGAGGCTCATTTGGGGGACGAGGTCAAAGGAATTTTGTCTTTGTGCCAAATTCTACAAGGGGGGAAATGACAAAGTTTTACAATCCAGCACTCTCTCTGACATGATAATGTGCCAATTTGGGTGCAGTTGTTTTTCACTGAGCATTTTTATCTCTAAAGACATGGAAAAGATGAATAAACTGACCTTTGAACTACTAGGCTGGAGTCTGGCAGACGTCTTCTCCGTCCCAATGGAAGCAGACTGCCACGAGGGTGTGCAGGCCTCTGTGTAGGAGTTAGCTGTTGCAGAGGAGAGAGGTCATCTCAAACAAAGTGGACTGGGTATATGCTCAGTTAGATTGTAATCAGTGTTTTTCTCTGATAACCACAACAAAGATAAGTTATATATAAGGTCTTAATGCTCCTGATTAAGTTTTTTATGCATTACTTTATCTGTCAAGTGCTTGCTGGTCAGTGCAAGACACAGTTCTATCATAAAAGGACTTCTAAGAACTTCTTGGCTGCAAATAAATACTAAAATTAGCACCTTGTGGTTGTCTGCCTCTGCCAACCAGTTAAGTTACAGAAAATATGGTCACAATCTTCCCTTCTGTTTCTGAGTTATGTCATTGAAAAGTTGCCAGTAAAGTATTTTTTGCAGAATATTTTGATGCCAGTGAATTTTGATCTTAACTATTTTATCCATTTAGACATTTGTTTTAAATGCTGTCAATCACTATATGAATTCTTGACATATTGGCTGAAAATATCATCTGTGAGGTCACAAGATTTATTCAATTCTATTTCTATCTGTTCCACTTTAAGTCCAAGTTAACGTTTGTGCGAAGTTTGAAGAAATTCCCTTAAGGTGTTCTTGAGATATCTCATTCATGAGAATAGGATGGATGGAAGGACAACCCAAACACAAAGCTCTGCTGCTGCTGAGGCATAGTAACTGGATGAAATGGAAAATATGTTTCATAACTCAGAAAGAAAACACTGTGCTACATAATGCTTATTAATATTTAACTCTACAGTCTCTTCTCTTTCAAAATACTTCCGTTTCATCCTAAAAAGAATATCCACAGATTTTCTTCTGCCTTAAACTTATATATTACATTTCTTCTATTGTTATAGTCTATTGTCTATAGTTTTGAAAAAATGTCTTTGAAAAAAATGAAACACTGATGATAGGTGAAGGGAAGATGACAACAGCAGCAGGGGTGGCTGGTGGAAGAGCAGATGAAGTCAGAGAGACTGGAGGCTCAGACAAACAGGCCAGGCTAAAGTAAACCTTGGAAACATTTAATCATAGATGCATCATCATCCACATATGTAACAGTGGGTGTTTTATTGACTTATGATCTGTTTGTGTAAAGAGGTTTTAAATCTGATCACAAGATATTTTCAGATTAAAATACAAAGGCTCAACCTTTTTATTTTCTTAAATGTTAATGACGGTGGTTCCTGCAGCCATACAGGAGCAGGATAACTGTACATATTGACTTGCTGTTGAGTGAGTTAGCACTTTAGGGAGCAGAGAATGACTCACATGCAGAGTCTGACAGCGCTGTGTGGGAGGACTTCCGGGAGCTGTGGGAGGATACTGAACGTGCACCACTGTTTCTGTCCCGTGCTGGGTCCAGTGTGGAGCAGATGTCCAAGTACAGCTCTTGAGCCTACAACACAGAACCATGTTAAAAGCAGAAAGTCAGATTTGAGACATGGTCCTTGTAGGCATCACAGACTGTAATGTACAGCAAAAGGACTCTTGATACTTTACCTTCACAGAGGAGGGAGCTATCTCAGGTGGAGACAGCTCCTCAAGGCCAAACGCTCTCCTCCTTTCAGCTCGCACCTCAGCATAACTAAATAACAGTAGATAGAAACACCATGAGTGACAGGTGTAGATCAACCCATCTGAATCTAAAACCCATGTTATCTTTGCCAAAACAACTGATGACCTACACACAGACCTAAACCCAGGTCAACTTGACACAAGTCAAGACTACAGGGTAAAAGAATCAGTTTTACCTGACAACAGTGTGAGTGCAGACAATGAACTCAGGTTTGGAGTTCCACTGGTGGTAAGTGATGTAGTAGTGAGTCTGCAACCAAATCCACTGCTGACCTTTGGTGAGGAAGCGATAGTAACACGATTTACCCTTTCCAAACTGCATTACTAAGAGAAGAAAAAAAGAAGACACACATCAGTGACATGTTCAGGCGTCACAGTTCTTTGCACTTGTACAATTAACTCATGTATGTTAACTATAACCTATTTGAGAGAGATGGGTATCTGGGTGTGGTGGTGAAGGTTGGAAAGAAAGATGCAGCAGACAGAAATGTTACTTACACTGATTGTGACACTGAGCTATAAGCTCCAAGTCATCTACATGATAGTAATCATAGCCAGATGTTCCAAGAACCTCAAAGGGTAAATAGCCTATGATTGGTGAAGCTCTGAAACAAAAAAAAGAGGATGATCAGCACAGAAGAAAGATTCCTGTTAGAAAAAAAATATGAAAAAACATGATTGATTGAGAGGAAGAAATATATCATTTACCTGTGATCTAAAAACAGAAACTTCCATTCAAGGCTGTGTCTGGAAGTGAACTCATCACAAGGATCTTCCACATTACACAAATCCTGATCAAAGCAACGGTCACAGAAAGAGGAAGTCATGGTTAAAAGTGTCAAAATAAAGACAGGAATTAAAAGCCTCATCATATTTTCTATTATTTGGTTTGGAGATTTGATACACTACTATAATGTGAGCCAGAAAAGATTTTATTAACAGTTGTACTATGGCATGTTACAGAATAACTTATGTACTATGTACATACTATTATGGAATCATATTTTGTCTGCATGTTAGGATGATAACTAAAACTGGTCTGGGGGAGAAACGGTGTAGGGTTCAAAACCTGCAGATTAAAACCAGTATGTGCAAAAGATTTGTCTTGTGTCTGAGAATCTGAGGGAAAAAATATTCCATTTCACATAGTCCAGACATTCATTGTTCCAGTCATTCCATACGGTAAATGAGGGTAATCAGTGTTTTTTTCTTTTACATTTTGGAATAAGTTGTGGGGGAGAATAGAGGTCTGTTCAATAGATCTACTCTCTGAGCTCTTTTGAGGTGGAAAGGTGAAATGGAAAGTCCTGTCATGTTCCATTTATTAAAAACATTCATAAATTCATCTTTTCTAAATACTCTAAATACTCAACTATTATTATTAGCACATTATTCATTATCAGCAGTATTATCATTACTCCAATTGCTGCTGTTATTATTGACATTATTACATCTTTAAGTATCACTATGCTTTTCATTATAACAACTAGTCCAACAGTGCAGCTATTTCTGGTCCCCCCCCCCCAGCCTGTGATCAGTTCAGATCACAGGAAGGTTGTAAACATATGAATGCATCTCTAATTGACTTCAGTAACTTGGCAAGTGTCCAGATATAAACTCACCGAGCACCTTTGGGATCAGATGCATCCTATTGATATAATCAGCTAGGAGGGACACAGTGTGCCAGCATGCAACAAGAAATGTCTAGAGAGCACTTGATTCTGTGCAGTCAATATGGAGCAAACTAAATCCCCTTCAGGCCATAGACCACAGCTCGCTGCTGTTTGATTGTTATTGGTTTCAGTATCACCCCTGTTTTCTACCTTTGAGGGTAATGATGCCATATACATGCAACATACACCATGGCTCACGTTTCAAGATCCCAGCTGGTCTCACCTTGACAAACTGTGGAGTGACTAATCGTACAGTAGCAATGAGGCAGACCTGCTCCTCCAGTGCTGACTGTAGGCTTCTTGGTAGCGACATCTCAAGCCCGTTACAAGATCTAGGCACTTTATGACAGAAGACAAGTATATGGGAGCACAGTTAGTTGAGAAATCTATCATAATCATATCCTATAAAAATAACTATTTCTATCTTTTTTCCAATCAGTTACTTAAATTATTTTACTAAATTAAAAGTATACATGACCAACAATGAAATTAACATTTTATGCAATTTCAAGTCTTTGAAAGAAAACTAAAATCCTTACCATTGTTATGAAACTTGAACTCTCCAACAAACTTGACATACTCGTACACAGGTGGCTCTTTTGGGTCAATGTTACCTCTCGCTAGATGACAGCAAAATTCAATATGTGCCTCACCTGAAAAAAAGGGAGATTTTCATTTTGAAGCCCAGTCATTATACAATATACACGAGTATATACAATCTCCGACAGAAAAACTTTTGATTAATAACCATTAACGCATTTACTACTGAACTGTGCATAATTTGCTACCATACAGGCATGTGATCATTCTCCAGATCCTCAAAATCATAGAGTTTTGAATAAAGAGGCCAGGATAGTGTGGGCACCACTCGAAAATGCTTTTTTGTTGACTTAAGATACATAAAAGGAGAAAACAAGCAGGTGAAATTGAAAATCCTCTTATAATGAAACTTGATTGAGCGTTATGCTTAAAAGCTAGACATTCCTTTTCATGGAGGAAGAACCAAAGATTGATGTGTGTTTTTAAAACTGTGCCCAGGAGATGATGGTGATTACTGCAGACATGGCTCCGTGACAGTTTTCTATTTAGGCTTCAGAGGACAGACTGAGACACTTGCCACTCACCATCTCTCTTCCCCAGAAAAGCCCAATAGTGACACAGGATTAAGGTCAGTGTCTTGAGCCCCAGATACTACACTGCTTTGGATTAGCCCGCGAACATAACAGTGATTTAAAGTCTTAACTATGATACTAAGCTAGCACCTATTATTAGCTAAAAGGCTAATCATAGATACACACTAATCAGCAATCCAATAAAGTATAGACCCCAATTCAGCAACTTGCTCTATATTTAAAGAGCTTGAAGAGGTATTTACAGTGTCAAAGCAAAGTTCAGAGATGTTCTGACACACAAAAATGCATCTAAAAGAATTTGGCAAGACTGCTAACAAGAATGAAGTGTTGTGTCTATATTTCAATTAAAAATGTCACACTAAATTAAAGAACTCACAAAATTCGGAGCTACAAAATTTTAAAAAAGTACAGAGGATTTTATCCGCATTCATCCACAGTATTTGACCTTTCTATAAGATGGGAGACAAATCTACAGACTTCAACCTTTCAACTGTCAATGCGATGATGACCCAGACGCAGTGTGGTGTTAGACACAGACAAGGGCCAGACGTGCACAGAGAGGCCACCCAGTAGGATACTCACTGTCAAGGAAGTCAGCAGCAATGGGGTCAGTCATCAGCATGTGGGAGGATAGCAGCTTATACACCTCGCCATGTTCCCGCTCCGGGAGGAAATTCAAGATATTTTGGTCCACCATATCTGACTGGTGCAAAAAAGACATGAGAATGATGGTCAGTATTTTGGGGGAGTATGCAGTATATAACAGTGCTGCGATGCAAATATAGTTACATGTGATATCATTAACCAATGCAAGGTTTTAGTATTTTAAAGTAAGTTCAGGTAAACTTAGCAGCCATGAACCTAAATGTGATGTTTATTCTATTGCTCTGAAATGTGAATGAAATGAACATCAACACATAAAAATGTTCTGGATTAGACCAGGTGAATAACAGATCAATTCATAAGCAACATAAAAAAACATGATTAGAATAAAAAAGCACATTATTTATTATTATTATTATATGTGCTTTTTTTCCTTATCAATTGTATATTTTGTATGTGTGTATTTGTTTTGTATTTTGCCATTTTTTTGAATTGATTAAAGGATCAAAATAAGAACAAAAAAGGATAACAACACCACAATGCAGAGTAAGCAAGAGGGTAAAGTAACTCATTTAAGCTTCCTTACTTACCGGTAAATGGCCAGTAAGTGAAGACACACTGTCAGATACGTATATGATGTTTCCATCTGTAGTTAATGCTACCAAGAAGCCATCTAGGGCCTGTAAGAGGGGAAAAGTGTCAACTTGACAATGAGGCTACAAATATGTTGAACAGCATTGTGCAAATGCACATTTACACTCGTACACTTTCACATGTCATCTACATCTGTGGTAGATAATTGCATAACAAAATCATGTTGACATGTTATTAATGTGTTTGCCTACTCAATTGCCACCACAGTTCAATAGTTCTTACATTTCATACAACGCTCTGGGATAATATAATTGTGAATATATAACTGAGCCGAGCGTATTTCATCTTGTCCAGTTCTCCATGGGCATTTTAGAGACTGTGTCTTTTTCTGTTATCAATATTAGTCAAAGCTTAATCATTGTTGGCTGTTCTACAAACACATCCTCCTGAGCTTTACCTCCAGCATTAGCTGAGTGAACTCCTCATTACTGAGGAACGAAGGCTTCCAGTCCTGTCTCACATCACAGGTTTCATTCTGTGCAGTGATGTCTAAAGAAGATAGAAGATAAAATAAAAGACAAGGATTAAAGTAACTTCATGACCGAAACTAAACATTATCACTAAGAATTGTATTCGTTAATGACTCAAAAAAGTGGGGAACTGTATAAAGGAGTGTCTAAAAGTGGAAACAATTATAATACAGTCTGTCAACATTTTGCAAATGCTGCATACCTTTTGAAAAACAAAAGAAGAGTTTCATTACATGCTGTAAACTGTGTTTATCTGCTATGTATATGACAATAAACATCTTGAATCATACCATACATTTCTTACCTTTCTGTTTCTGCAAGAAATCAATAGTTCTCTGCAGTATGGTGGACTTGTCCATCTTGCGTGGATGGCCTTGGCCCTGCAGCATAGTGCATAGCTCCTTGATGAGCACATTGAATTGGTCTCTTCTTTTCTTTTCCGATTTGTTACGGGATGCCCTTAAAACATCAACACACGAAACCAATGATCAATCAGTGGACTTACAGGCAAAAGCTCAGCTAATCAGGAAACTTGAGTCCATCTATTGAGAAATACTTAAACCAGTATTAATAGTTTTAAACTATGTACATTTTCTTCAAACGTTATGCTCAGATAGTCTTTAAATTAAAAGACTTAATTGAAATGTGACACTGAAGATGAGCCAAAACTTATTATTATTATTAAGTATTATACACACACATATTACCTTGAACCAAACGAACATACAATCATAAACATACACACAGGACTGAGTACCTTTTTGCCCTGTCTTTCTCATCGTCATCCATTAAATCCTCCACGCAGCTGTTGGTGCTAGAAACAGAGTGGTACAAGTTAAAATGTTGTTTCAGCTAATGTTATCTTCTTTACTCATCATCACGAGCACATATTTACTATCTCAAGCCTGAACATTATACTGTAATGTACTAAAACAGGTTCCTTAAAGAGATAAGCAGTCACAAAGCATAAAGATTTGGGGGTATGTATACAAAAATGTATTGAAAAGAATATGTATTAGTAGCAGTTCATCTCATTTATTTCACAGGAAAAGACATAAATTCATGGAAAACAATGAACGAATTGTTCAGCAGCTGAACAAACGTTCTTATAGTGCTCAGTTTTATGAATGAAGAAAATATGTCAACCACTGAAATTCTGTGGAGGAAGTAAGACTAACAAACACTGTGAGACATGAAGTGTTTTTTTAACATCTTATCTGTTTTATCAGTTTTCAGCCAGAAGCCCTTGCTATACCTCAATTTCAATGAGCTACAATAACTTTAATTATATCAATTAATAATTGACTAATTATTAAACATTTACCCATAAATGTGACTCATAACCATTAAATCAGGTTGTTTAAGATTTATTTGTCAAAGCCAAATTACTGAACTACTTATGCTGTGAGTCATCCACTACATGAGACACTTGTTAAAGCAAAGTAAATGTTTGTGCAGTGCATGTCTGACTACATACAAATGCACATACAAGGTACCCCTGCTTGGTTTTCTCTCAGCCCACTCAAATGTTCAAGCACAATATAGAATGTGAATAAATCAAGTCCTGTATATAAAAACAGATCACAAACTGAAGGTAAATTGATTTGATACTCACTCCCATTCCCTATGGGCAGACGAGCAAGGGACACCAAAGTCAGAAAGGTTGTCCATTCTCACACCCTTTCCCAACCAGGCCCTTTCTGAAGTCTTATAAGTCCCATCCGCGCTGACCTTGTCTGAACACTCTTTTGGAAAATCCTACCACGGACCAGCTACCCACCACTGCCTCCAGTCCACCAAAGAAACGCCAAGTCCTGTGAACATAGACAAACTGATGACAACCTGAAAGACATGTTGTGAGGATGATAACAGTGCTTTATGAACTCATGTTAACATATTGTAGGAAGGCTTTTTCTATGAGACCTGATTTAAGGGAAATACATAAGATCCTCCAGACATCTATGAAAATCATCCATCCTCTTTAACAATAAGGATATAGGGTGTGATGCACCTATAACACAATGTAAAGTACATAAACCCCCTTCAGCCTCCATCTGAGTACTGTACTTCATCACAAAAGAAGTGTTGTTGCACAGAAGGAGCTCCCCTGACCTAGAAAAATGAGTCTGAAGACGAAACCTCTTTTTGATAACACTGTGTAGTAAGAGCCACCTAATCCAAACCAAGAGCTCACAGACTGGAGCTCTGTTCGGCTGCAGTTAAATGCACACAAACCACCTACTCCTCCCTCCATCCCATGTCCTGAACATACACAAACATGTGAGAATCATTCAAATGGACCATTATTATATTGATGTTTCCCAAACTAACCCTGACTATCTATTCATACAAAGCACTAAAATAAAATGTTATCTCTGAGGGTAACACTAATGCGTGATCCGAAACATAACTTCTGCATTCCCTGCATTGCTGTCCACTGATAATTGAATTTACTGGTAAAATTAAAAATCTACTCAAGAAATGCACAGTTTTTGGTGCATCAGGGATTTCTTCACCCTCCAACATCATGTAAAATGAAACCTCACATTTCAGCCTCTATTCTTATAATGTATTGAGGTTAAACCACACCTTGAAAGGTTAACAGCTAGACAACATCAGAGTCTAGTTACACTTGTGCCCTCAGGTATTTAAAGCCTTTAACCAGCCACCTGAACTCATGGTAGAAGGCAGTACGGTCATGTTCAAGTTCACAACCAAACTCTGTGTAGGCTATAAAAAACATGCAGACTTTCTTATTGGTCATAACCTTCCACAGAGGAAACTATATACAGGAATTACAGCGCTTTATTTAAAATACATATTAAAATATTTAATGGAGAAAAAAAAAACCTGCTGCCAAAATGTCTCACACTCCACCTTCCCTACCTAAAAGCTCTCGTGGGATAATGCTGTCCACTTGTATTTTTAATTTAAAGCCCAGTAAATATATTTACAAGCTTTCCTAAGGCAAACAGCTCTTACATGTTTAATGTTTGCACCCAGTGTTGTATTGCTCAACATCTTCTAGTCAATCTTAAAAGTTACAACCAGTCTTTTTTTATTCCAAACACCATTGTGCAGTCATTGAAAACATCTGATGAATTTGATGTGAAAAAGTCTGGCAGTGTCACTTCCTGACACTAGACAGCTCGTTCGCTGTTGAGGTTATAATATTCCACAGCAGGAATAATAAAAGCACATCTGCAAAGCTTAAATTTCCTCTACACTTTTGTTTCTTTGCCTTTCTCTGAAACGCACAATTATACTGAGTAGCACTGAGTTACTAACATGCTGCAGCCACATTCCCTCAGGTAGCTGTGTGTTATCTCGTAAATACTAAAATTTTAAATACTACAACACTGTCATGTGACAGATCATTCACGGATTATGAAAACCTTTGACTATCTTTGAGTAATTGGTGGATTATATCACCTGTGCAAAAAGGTGATAGTGTCAATAACTGTAAACTCACAATGGCTGGTGAATGACACGGGCACAGATGAAAGATTCTGACAGCAGTTATTTCTCAAGACAAAATACTGTTTTACGTCAGTGCATGGGGTGTGGCTGACATGCCAATGTGTCATCGTCAACTCAAGAGGATTTAATATTGATGACACAGCATTTGGTCACATATACATTTAATTCTCCTTCATTAAATGAGAATAAAGGCCTGACTTTTCACCTCAAAGAACTGTGGATTGTTTCCTGAGTAATTCATACAGCAGTGCATGTATCTGTAATCTACTGTAAACCCACAGACCACAGAAAACCTGCTTTGTTCATCTATTTTAGAATATAGGACAAAATGGTGAATATCCCTTGTACTGGCAAAGAACTATATAATTATATTGACTTTAATATATGGAACAAATTAGAGTTAGAGCTTCCACAATTACCTTGCATCTAAATGGACCTAGTTTATTAATATTTCAACTGGGATTTTTCTTTACTTTGTTTTTTTCTGAGGGAGAGACTATGGACATTTTACAGCTGTCAGGGATGTTACCACTTACATCTATCTTCAGGCATATTGAGGATATTTTGGGATCATTACTAATAATGTGAATAATGCACATCAAGAGACATTTTTCAGAAGCAGTATTATTTTCATCAGTGTATTGTATAAATAAAACAAAAAATTGCTGGATCAGCCAAAATAATGTCTATATTTTACAGTAGGATTGCAATTAATGATTATTTTCTTAATCAATCAATTAGTTGTTTGAGCCATAAAATGCCAATCTGTGTTTCCCAAATCCCATTTTTTTATTTAGTTGTAAAAAATGGCTTAATTAATGGTGGAGAAAGTATCTAGTAATGTAATATAAAGCAATTATAAAAAATTTGTAAAAACAATAAATCAAATTCTAGACCAAACATGGGCAAATTTGAATCTACTAAAATCTCCAGATTGAAAACTCACAATAAATGTTCATCAACACAATGTTGGCCATGTTATTTCCATGTCACTAAATGGCAAATTGAAGTGAAAGCCTGTAACATACATGGCTTTTTAAAAGTGGTACTGAAAAATCTTCTCCCTGGAATAACAATAAATCCACCAATTACATGTTGCTGACCACTAATGTTACCAAGAGACAACATTTTCACTGGGTTTATGATGTTTCACCTGCTCTTTCCCTCACTCACTCCCTCACTCAACGACACAGTGAGAGCTAGCAGTGAGAAAAAGCTACGTGAAAGCTTTCTGAAAGCCAATAACAGCCTTTCAAAAGTTATTGTATTATTCTAGCTCACACTGTTTTTACCTCTCTTGTGCTGATGGATGAGTACCTTAGGGTTATTTGTTCAGGCTACTTGCCAGTCGGGGATGCTACTGTCTGCTTGTCTAAAAGTTTACATTTCCAGACCACCTGCATCTGGTTTTGAGGCAGCCCGTCAAGTTGTCAGGTAAACACATGACTTAGTTTCAGTCAATCTGGAAATTGTTATTTCTTTTTTTTAGAGAACTTCATAAAATCACTATTGCTTAACTGTGCAATGTCCATAAAACATGAAAAACTATATTTGTGGTACTTACTCAAGGATAAACTTTTGTTTTAACATATCTCAGTCTGTTTTCATTGGCTTGGGCTGTATGTAATCTAAAATCATATTTGTACACAATTATAATTCATTCACTTGCTTTATTTCCCCATTAGATGGTTATTGTGGTTAAATATTAACCTCAGTCATATTAACTTAAAAGCCCATATAAACCACATACACACAGAAAGTGGAAACATAAACAACATTTCTGAATGCTTTAAAATCCATTTCATCATTATTAACAGGTCAATTTCTAAATTTACATAAGATAGTGTCTCAGCTTTCTGACATGATTTCTAGAGAAGGGAAGCTCCCCCTTCAGTGATAAGGAAACAGGAGGCACTTCTATTGGTTACACACCTACAAATGAAAAACACTGGCAGGGCAATAAATGAACTCAATGAACCTTGCTTCCTAGTATGTACATGGTAAATAAGTAATTCTGCCACACTTCATCCCAGGGTCAAACAGAGGAAAACCATGTCAGCTGCACAAGAGAAGCATAAAATGCCTTAAGGACAAGAAAACAGCAGGTTAGCCAGAGAAATGTGAACTCCAGTAGACGTAAAGCTGCCAGGTTGGGTAACATCAGCCTGACCTAAGCCTGCTGAGAAATTATTTAAGGATATCTTTTCCTGTGACATTTCACATTTGGCTATCTGGCAAGAGGCATTAACGAATATATCCCTCCAGTGTTTTGCTATGAATGTCATCAGCAGTGGTGCTACAGTGAGGAAAATAGGTTATTTAAACGTTGTAATCAGGGCACTTGATGACTGAGAGCTGAAAACACGCAAGCAACGTTCAAGAGCGCTGGGGTTTATGTAGCTGCTGACACACAGACTCCCATATCTGCCAAAAATACAGTATATGTTGAGCCTCCACAGTCTGGCTCTGGTAGACAATGATTAACTAGGTATTGACAGGAGCTAATCGTGTGATCGGCTAACTCTACTTTAATCTGCAGAGAGGCCACTCATGAACTTTGATGTTACGCACAGTGCAAACGGGTGGCAGCGACACGACAACATTTTGCGCTCTTGTCAGCAGAGGAGACGCGAAACTCAAAGCTCAAATGAAATCGCACGTACCTTGAAAGCGACTCTCCAGCAGAAACAAAAATCCACATTTAACTTTAAGCGATCCGGTCATTTTTTTAAAGGAAGAAAATGAAAAACTACAACATAGCAGCTGATCGCAGCAGCTACCAGCGTCGGACCGACCAGGCGAGAGCGCTGAAAGCGTTAAATTGTATAACAACGCCTAAGTTATTAACGTGCTGTTATTAATCGCCGGTGAGCTTGTCTGCGGCTGTGACAGTCCCAAATTATCAACAACACACGACAAGATCCCCCATTCGTGGTCCTGGTGGGCTGTGTCCGTCTATTTTCCAGGCACTGTACTCCACATCCTCCGCTGGCAGTGGCTTGTAAACAGGACTGAGTGGCTGAGAACAGAGGAAAGTAGGTCAGCTGGTAGCTCAATACTCGGCTAACGACGGCAGCAGCAGCATAAGCAGTCGGCTGTTCAACACAACCGAGAGAAACCTTCAGTGACCGGGAGGAGGGGGCAGATTGTAATCTTTAACACGTGCTTAATACATAGCTAATAGCACCACACTAAATGTCATTTGGAGAACTGCAATGGACAATCGCCTGCATGTCTAATGAGGGTTTGCAACACACTTTTTTCACTGGGTGTGAAATTGTGAATGGTACGGTCTGAAATGAAAGTCTAATACCACTTGGCCATGGAGGCATGA